ATGGATGTGGAGAGAAGGGAACACTTTTACACTGCTGGTGGGATTGCAAAATTAGACAATCTTTTTGGAAGAAGTATGGAGAACCCTCAAAGAACTCAACCTAGACCTCCCATTTGATCCTGCAATCTCATTACTGGACATCTACCCAGAAGGAAAAAAATCCTTTTATCATAAGGACACTTGCACTAGACTGTTTATTGCAGCTCAATTTACAATTGCCAAAATGTGGTAACAGCCTAAATGTCCATCAACCCAGGAATGGATTAACAAGCTGTGGTATATGTATACCATAGAATACTATTCGGCCATTAAAAAGAATGGAGACTTTATAGCCTTTGTATTAACCTGGATGGATGTGAAACACATTATTCTTAGTAAAGCATCACAATAATGGAGAAGCATGAATCCTATGTATTCCATTTTGATATGAGGATAATTAATGACACGGTGGGGGTGGGGGAAGGGGAGAGCAGACCTGGTTTCTTGTACTCTCAATGAATCCCCAACAATAAATAAAAAAAAAAAAAAATTAAAAGAAAAAAGATACAAATAAGCAACACAAGAGAAAACAGAAAAAAGAAAGGCTTCTGTCAGAAAGGAATTATAGTCATAGCACACCATGCGGACCAGCAGTGACTAATATTTTACAGTCACAATAATGTAAACAATATAACCCAACACTGTCATCTAACAATACAGGGAAAACAGAGGAAAGGAAGTATGTGTGGAGGAAAGGAGGATGGCTATAAGAAACCAGCTCCTCATTTTCCATAATAGGAAGTAAATACACATAAAAGTGGGGGGGGAGGGGAGAAGAGCAGATCAAGAAGTAAAATGATAGGCATATACTAAAATATGAAGGAAAAGAACAGAGATACCAGCTAAGGATTGGAAGTGTTTATTTCTGGGAGGTGGGGAAGGGTGGGAGAGGAGATGTGTGTTTTTTCTTAGAAGGTAGGTAGCATTAATCAAATACACAAGTTCAAAATAACAGGTATAGAGCATGAAGCTGTGGGGGAACATTTGATAAGATGATCTGGTTTCTGGGATTCCCTGAGGAACTGACACCTGACCAGGGATCTGAAGCTTGAGTTCTTTTTGTTTTTTTGGTTTTTTTTTTTGAGACAGAACCTCAAGCTGTCAACCTGGGTAGAGTGCCGTGACATCACAGCTCACAGCAACGTCCAACTCCTGGGCTCAAGCGAGTCTCCTGCCTCCACCTCCCAAGTAGCTGGGACCACAGGCGCCCATCACAATGCCCGGCTATTTTTTGGCTGCAGCCATCATTGTTGTTTGGTGGGCCCAGGCTGGATTCAAACCCGCCAGCTCAGGTGTACGTGGCTGGCACCTTAGCTGCTTGCGCCACAGGGGCCAAGCCTGAAGCTTGAGTTTTGCCAAGGCCCTTTGCAGAGGAGACAGAAACTGCACAAGCCCTGAAGACAGAGGAAGAAGGGCAAGCCCTGGAAGCCAAGGATGGAGGACAAAGAATGTGGGAGGGAGTCCTCAAGCAGAAGCTGAACTTTAAGATGCCAGGGATGTGGGAGAAAGGGAAGCAACACTGGTCAGGGATGGAGGCAAAGTCTGAGCAAGAAAACACTTCAGAATCCCCTATAATCCACAGGTCCCGTGACTTTTATGTCTCTATAAAACACACCAAGATGTGAGGAGTGAAGCTGGTAACTTTCTGCCATACCGTGGCAAGTAAGATTCTTATACAAACTCAGTTACACAATTTCAGGAGAAACAATCAGGTCTCAGTACCTTTCCAAACTGCCGCAGAAGCTGAATGAATGCTCCTTTTCCAAAGGGGTTTGTGAGACTTGCATGAAAAGCAAGTGTTGGATATTCCTGGGAGAGAACCGCAACCCATCGTTTCTAAAGGAAGAGGAGACATGCTCATAAACTGTACCTTGCTTATTACAATATATGGAAGAATCAGAGCTTGAATTACAGGATTGTGCTCCAAATACACTGTTGTCTTAGGAAAATTTTAGCTACATTTCTTTAAAATGTTTTTTTCAAGTGTGACAGTTAATGCTTTGTCTTTTTTGCCTTCTAAGTACAAAACAATACTCCCCAAATGCCTTCATTGCTACTAAACACAGTTAATGGAACATAATATGAAGCAGGCCAGTTGTGGCGGCCACTGTCTCCTTCTGAAGGGGCACACAGTCTTCACTGTGTAGGGACAACTGCAGCTGTCCCACTAGAGGATTACAAACTGCCAGAGAATAACAAGTACCTCTGCCCATCAGCAACGAAGCACATTAAGTTTTGTTTTCAATGAGAACACTCTGATGACAACAATCTCAAGAGTGCAACACTTTATCCCAAACCCACAAAACTGATTTGTGAACAGATACTTCAAAGTCTACACAAGTTGAGTGGCCTCCATAGACTGTTTTAGATTAATAGTTGTACTTACTGTTGCCCAGGTTGGAACAAGGTCACACTTGTTAAGAACAAAAATGAGGTGTTTCCAGGGTTTTTCCTTTTTCAAGTAAGTCTCAATGTGAGGGGAACGAGTACCCATCGGATCTCTAGCATCAAGAACTTGAACCACAACATCTGATGAATCTATCACCTGCAAATGTAAAGTGGCAAAAATAATTTGCTACATGACAAATACAAGAGGGACAACATTTAAGGAAATTTGAGGCTTTGAACCCAGCCCAGACCTGCCAAACACCACTGACAACTACAACCAAAAAATAGCCAGGTGTTGTGGAGGGCACCTGTAATCCCAGCTAATTGGGAGGCTGAGGCAAGAGAATCATTTAAGTCCAAGAGTTAGAGGTTGCTATGAGCTATGACACCATGGCACTTTACCAAGGGCGAGACTCTGTCTCAAAAAAAAAAAAAAAAAAAAAAGGAAATTTGGGAAAAATAAAAATATTTAGAGATGACTTCAGAACAGTGTGTGGAGTAGGCTGTAATCAATCTCAATGCCCAGAGATCAGAATAGAAAAAGTTTTTCATCAACCTGTGAGTATTTAAATTTGTCCAATTTAAAGCAGAAAAAGTAGCTTAGATGAAACTCATCTTATTCCATGACAACCATGGATTACTGAACGGACTGAAGTCTACTAAGCAAGAAAACAAGAGTCTACTAACTGTAGACTTCCTTAAGTTTCTACTGTTACAGATTTTGTGTATTTTATAGAAAACAAAAATGTAGTTTGCCTTCATGGTACTAGTTTCCAGCTATATTGCTGACTATGTGACTACATTTGAAGGTCTTTCTTCCCAAGATTATTATTAGTATGTGTACATAAAACCAGCCAGTTAAAAGAGCACTGAATCAGGAATCAGGGTATGCAAAGCCTCTTCTACTAATGAATGAACTGGGTAAGTTAAGTAAGAACATGTGTTCT